ATCTACTACTTTAAATTGTAATGAAGTACAAAGAAACCACCCTGTTACTCTCACTTGCGTCTCAGGTAACAATGCTTTCAGTCACTAGGAAAAAGTTCATCCCTGCTCAATGCCAAAGTTTTAAAGGATACAAGAGGAGGAGGATTTTGTTTGCTTTTAGGGAATTCTGTGCTGATCTCCTCTGTAGAGTCAGCATTTCAACTTTTTTGCATGAATGCCTAAAAGCAAGCAAACAAGGCTGCATGTTATTAACACTTTCTTTTTTTGTTGTGCACATGTAGTACTTAACATACCATGTGGTGCAGCTTTGGCACCATCTAAGACCCTGTCTTGTCTTTAATCTCAGAGCTGTCTGGAGTTCAGCCTAAGGATTCAGGAGTTCATTGAACTCATTCGACAGAACAAGAGACTGGATGCTGTGAGGTATGAAATTAGGATGTTTTCCAAACAGTTTTCTTAACAAGATGGTATTATGCTTCATTAGAAACATGGGACTACTGTTGTAACACCCAGCAGCCCTGTAAAGCCTGTAAAGGATCTTCCTGGTATTGACATCAGTCTTCAGATTTAAGCTGGGATTGAATTTTTTTTTTTAAGGGCAAAATGTCATTCTACAGATGCACCTTTTTAAAGAGTTAATGTTGTCACTGAAACTGTGCATCTTATTCTTCAAAATCAAGTTTAGAAAATTAATCTGTTTTAAAAAGCAAATGGATTTTCTGGTGGCATACAGTGTAATGTATATATTTACCCTTAACTAATTTTTAAGAGGTACATCTAGCTTCTCATGGGAATTCATTGCAGTTTTGTTCACAAAAAATACTAAAAGGTTAATGAACCTCCATCAAAAGCTTTACCATTTCAATTTTGTCTGCATTCTCTTCTATCTTCATTAAACTTTTTGTTCTGCAAGTTGTGCTGTGGGCCAGGTTCACCCTTTGTATTGATGCCCAATTTATAGTTCTGTATTGTCACGGGTGAACGATGAGCTATGCTGGGCTTTCCCCACCCCCTTCCTCTGGCCCCAAATGAAGAAACCAACTCAATATTTATTTTCACCTCTTCTGAACCAGTTCAGTGGGAACTACAGTGAGAAAGCAACGCTGCTCAGTGTGGTGTGAATCAGTAACAGAACTGGAGTCAGACCTCAGCACTGCCTGACTTCAACCACAACAGCTTTTATGACACCAGCACATGAAGCAATTTATGCCTCTGAGTTAGTGGTCCTGCCTTAAAGTGTTGGAATAATGTTCCAGGGTAACACTGGAAGCCAGTTCTGCTGAAATAAGTGGAATTTTGATACTGGGACAATGGAATGTGTTGATAATTCGATAAGCAGTGATCTTGCCAGCACCACAAAGTACAGCGCAGGTGGCAGAGCTACTGGAACTTGCACATGGACAAGGGGGAGAGAACTCACAGCAGGTTCTGTTTTGTAAGAATATTTAAGCCTAAGGAATGATGACAAGTTTATGGCCTGCCTTGAAGCTTTGCTGATACATTCCGATGATAACACTCTTCTGACGAGTTTTATGTTAAGAAAGTTACAAGTCTTGCTGCCTTTTAACCCATACCAGGCACTCCAGAAATTGAAACCAGCAGGAAGCTTGTATTTGTGGCAAAGCTGCTTTTTGGTCAGAGGAGAACAGAGTTACAGAAAACTAAGTATCATAATGTATGCACAGACTGAAAGTATTCTAGCATATTCCTAAGTCTGAGATGCAGAAGCTCTCCTGCAGGGCAGAGTTTTAGGGTTCTTTTCAGGTTTTATTTCTAATTCCATTAAAATGTATTGCTTGCTTTGAGCTAACTCATCATTCCTACTTTGCCCCCCTTGCACCTAAATTGTCATGGCTTTGGTCCCAACCAATGCAAATGTGCAATCTGATAAACTCCAGCTAATTTTAATGTTAATAATTAAAGACAAAATAAACAAAACCTGCATGCTAGCATTTAGATATGTGCGCTTACCCTTTGATAGAATTCTTAAGTCCTGAGGAATTGTCAGGTACTTCTGAAAAGGATGAAAGAGACTCAACTGTATTATCTGTCTTCTGAAGCCCCTGGTGCTCATTATACCAAATGAATACTGTGCCTTTAGCTTTATTCTCTAAGTTTGTTTCTTTGCCAAATGTGCAGTCATGCATCTTAACAAAGAGTAGTCCATGCTCTAAAAACTATTTTCTTTGAGCTACAGCTTCCTTATGTAGCTTGGAAACCAGAGGGCAGGTACAGAGCTGAAAGAAGGAAATAGGCTGAGAACTGGGACAAAGCAGATAAGGTCATTCTGTATTTTATTGTTACTGGATATTTGTTTCCCTCTGATCCCTTTTCCACATCAGAACTGGTAAAATCTGAAAGTCATCAGCCCTCAAGAGGACACGACACACTTGGTGTGGAATAACTTGTACTGCCATAGCCTCTGAGGTTTAAAACTTAGAGCTCCTGTTCACATGGCAAACAGGCATCCATTATTGCCTCTTGTTAGGGGTGAATGTGTATTCCATATACCTGCTGAAATTCCAGATTGACATGCATTTTATACTCAGCAGTTACAACTTGCCAATCATGGCAATGCTGCTTTGATTTCATAACCAATTGTAAAATAAAAAGGAGCTCCTCTTTCTATATCTTAATTCACTCCTTTTTAACAGAATGAGTTTAGATAATTTTATACATTCAGAATTAAGCATCTCAATGCTTTCCTTCAATAACGTGGCTAAAAAATGTAAGGTTTTACCATTGCATTCTACCTTGTTTCAAAGTAAATAAGTAATGAATAAGGGAATATATTTGGGGAAGGTGCAGCATAAATCTCGTTGCTGTTAGCAAACCCTTGCAACTTGTGCTTTTATTAGCTTGCTTCTGTTAAGTGCCTGCAGCAGGATTCTTTCAGCATTGTGTCCATGGTGCAATAAATAGGTCAGGCATCCATTAGAAAGCGAAGAAAGAGGCTGTTTACCAAGGAGTTTCCTGTATGAGTGGAACTTGGGGAACTGACATTTTGTTGAAACGCAGCTGGTGTTTAAATAAGTTTGAAAGCTTTGCTTGCTGCCTGCTGAGAACCTCTAAAGTGGCACATTGCTTTTAGGTTAAAATTGATGTGAACTTTAAAATTATACATCTTATTTGATAAGTGCTTGAATTTGTGTAGCTTTTTAGAATACGAGTACAAATAGACCTTCCTCTGATAAGGGTACCTTATCAGAGTAGCCTTGAAAGTGCAAGTTTCAAGAATGCACAAAAACTTCCTTGAACAGAAAGAGTAAATCTCTTAAGCTTAAGTACACCACAAAGTTCCTTGACTATCATTAGCCTTTAACTCCCACAGTCTCTTCAGGTTTGGGGTTTTTTTGTGAAGCTCATACCTATTACAGTAACAATGAATGAATGATGACACCAATTTCACACTTTTGGAGCTCTCACTAAATTCATTCTGGGAAATCTGACAGCATTCTGCTACTTTGCTCTTATGGGATGCCAGAGATACACAAAGTTCTCAGCTGAATGCTTAACAAAACACTGTGTGCACTTCTTGTTCTGGGAATATTGAGGATAAAAGGAGTAAATAAGAATAGCTGAAAAGAAAGTAGCTACAGTCTATCACTTCAGTCAACTTCTCTCCCACAAGGATGAGAGACCACAGTTTGTTCCTTTATTTTTATGGTGGGGTGGGGTTGAACAGGCATATGAAAGTAATAATAAAACTATTGAGTACTTTGAGTATAAATTTCACTAGTTGTCATAAGGGTCTGAGATAAAGGCATTCAGGCATTGGTCAAAAAACTGAGTAGAAAGAACAGGTCCTTTCTTGATAACACCGTATGTTGGTGTTAGTTATTGCTGCTGCCCCATAAGTATGTTCATTTTTATATTCAGGCATATGTAGATATATAAGCTGTACATTGCATATGTATATTCTTTTGTAACAATTTAATGTACCCTTACTGAACTGCAAGTCTTCAAGTCTTAGTAAATATTTGCCAAGTACAATATGTCAGCTGTACCTGTGTGGGCTGGAGGGACAAACAATGGACTTTGTCCCCACAGTTTACAGAATTGTTCTGGGATTTGAAAAACAAAATTTTCTGCCTATTACTTTGGTCCATCACAAGAATTTAGTTAGTGGCTTCGGTGATGGTCTGCTGTCAGGATTTAAAAAAATAACTTTTAGGAAAATGTAGCCCCCTGCCCTAACTATACTGACTAGTGGGTGCTAATTGTAATAAAAACATTGCAAAGAAGCATTGTAAGGCTCACATACACCTCCAAGAGCATAAAGAAACTTGCACGGAGATGGGAATAGCTGAATGACAAGGGAAGGAGTGAATAATGGCATGAGGACAAATAAGGTGCTATTTAAATGTTGTGCATTCACAAGTAACTCAAAGTACTGTTTCTTGCTTCCCAATGTAAAAAAGACTTGAATGCTATGAATTAATGAACTGGCTTCTCCTTTAAAGGGTATCTTGCTTCATTTTATTTTCTCTGTGTTGGCTCCCAGCAGATGAAGTTCAGCCATTAGCGTGCAGGCCTTGTGGGAAAACTTCCTGGGTTTTTTTAAAGAACACAGGAGGAAGGGAGAGTCGGGAGATGAAGACTAACAGAAGGTCACTTCAGAAAACTTAATTCATTCTAGCTAAACCCAAATGGCCACCACATCCCAGTGTGTTCAGTATTTGCAAGTGATGGAAGTTCTAGATTGCTGAATGCTTCCAATTTGAACAGCAAGCAAATGTACAGTGATTGTGTATTGTACACACACAAACATGTTAATTCTGGCTCCTCTTGAACACACACAGTGAGTGTGGCCAGAGTTTGCCTGTCACAGCTCAGAGTCTTCCTGCAAACATGTTCACCTGCTGCCTGTGAAAGTAAATTGTCAGACAGAGTAATTTAGCTTAACTGGTAGGTCTGAATTTTTGCTTTGCCTAGTCTGTGTTGTAAACTGCTCTTGCTTTCATCTGCAGCTCTGCACCATTATTTTACCTTTCTTCCAGTGTGTCCAGGCTGCTGAGTCTCTTCTCTCAGGCCACGGGTTTTGGGCTTCTGCTCTCATAAGTCATCACCTGGGGAACAATATTTACATTCCTGAATTACTCACCCAAAATAGGAAACTGGGTGGAAACAGTCTGTCCTACATAACTTCCATTGCTTCCTGGTTTGGGTGGGAGAGGAAGTGGGAGTACTGAAACACTGCTAAAGAGACTGTTCTCATGGTATTGATGACCTCAATGAAGTAGTCAGTGGAATTCAGAATTGAAAAGAAATAAAATTTACCTATTTTTTCTTAATTCAAGCCATGAAATGGGCAATTTGAAAATACTGCCTATTCCTAAAAGAAATTCGTAACTTTAAATAGATTTTGACAAGATTCTTTGAAAGTTAAAAACGAGCACACACTTAGCAGAGCACTTGAGAGATGACTTGGTATCTTCCCCGTAATACAAACTGTGCAGAACACACAGCACGGGGAAAACTTTCCTACACTTATGCAATGCCAGAAATTCAATATGATGCTGATGCCATACCCAGTCTCCTGTGCTGCATCTGTGCACCACTGAAAACAGGAGCTTTTAGCAGAAATGCTGAACTAACCATCCAGTTTGAAAGCTGGAGGGTTTTCCTGCTCACTTACACTCCAACTTGAGAATTAATGATCTTGGGTAGACTTTCGTACAAGGTTTTAAAGTAGTTGAATATCCTTATAATCTGGTAATAATTTTGTGGTTTCTTACTATTTCCTGAAAAATATTAAAGTTTGTAATTTTCATTTCAATATCTTTATGGTAATTCTGTCACTTCTTTAAAATATCCAAGTTTTCAACTTTGTGTTTATCTCTTAAAATCAGTATGTGTTAAAGTACAAAATCTTGTACTAAAGTTCTACTTTTTTTTTATTGCCTTGGCAAAAAAAAAAAAATTTGCTCTTAACAAGGTGTTTTCTATTACATTGTTCTACAATTTCTTGTAGTCTGCACAGAAAGTGATATTGCCTCCTAGCCTATGCCCCCCCCTCAAAAAAAAATCATTTATTCAAAAGTAAGCATTGTCCTAAATGTCACTTATAAACAAGGCAGATTTTTGAACACTCTTGATGTGTTATGGTTCTGGAATAGCTGATTTTCAGATTGCATTTATCTCACTTGTGAGTGTATGGCAAAGAATACACTGAGTGGTACACTGAGCCTGCATGACAAGAGGCATTTCTTCTAATGATCATGGATCAGTTCTAGTTGTAGGTGAGGTAAGACTTCATGCTACTGTAAGAAATTCTGGTTTCTAAGAAATTACAGTCTAAAAATGCTAATTCTTCAAGTCATACTTGCATTGCCATTTGCAGGATGTGTTTTTTTCAAGCCCTTTAAATGCATCCATCACCTTTTGGAGCTCTAGAGGTTTCTCTCTGAAATCTTACATAATTATGTAAACCTACTTGGTTTGGAAACAAGGCTGTCTAATGAAGTATCAATTCTGTATTTCAGACATGCAAGAAAGCATTTCAGTCAGGCTGAGGGAAGTCAGCTGGATGAGGTTCGACAAGTGATGGGAATGTTGGCCTTTCCTTCAGACACTCACATCTCGCCCTATAAGGTAACGTCCTGCTTGAAATGCAGGGGTACAACAGACTAATAAAACAGATGTTGCAGTTTTTTTCGTTACAGGAAAATGCATTGATAATAAGATAAGTGTGGTTCTAATTTTACTTTCTAAAACCCACCTTTGTAATCATTCTCCATTTCAATAGCCAGTCCTTGCCTGTACATTAATCCAGTTGGGATGTGTTGTTGCAGTTGAATTTTAATAGTAACACAGATTCACACTGAGCTGGGCTTACCACAAACCCAGCACTAAAGATCTGTGGGGCTGGAAGCACAATATATAAATAAACAGCAAGATACAGAAGATGGGGAAGAACAAACTTAAAAAAAGAGACAGTTTTGCTCAATATATGAGACTGTGGCCTTAATACACTGGCAGCAATTCTTAATTCTGCTTCTCACATTACTGTTGTTGCAGTGGTTGGGCTGAAGAAAGATGATTTCAGTGATCTGAAAGCACTATTTTTGATCCTTAAAATAAATGTTCATTTATTTGGATTATGCAAATTAATGCAGATATTAGTGGTAATAGCTGCATCTAAATTTGAATCAAGCAAAATTCATAAGTAGATACTGTTTCTACAGACTGAGTTCTGTGGTCATCTCTAATTAGCTTCTTGTTAACTTGGTTCTGGAGGCAGAAGGTAGAGAAGAGTTGAGCTGGCAGAGCAAGACAAGAATTCCATGAAAAGCCAAGCCAGTATGTGGCAGTGCCAGTATAAACATGTTTTTTAAACAGTTGATGATGAAATTAATGGTTTAACAAAACACACAAAAAAAACTTCTGGAACCAACAACCCACTGAATTAACATTAATTTCTTCATTATTCCCAGAGTCCTAGAAGGATCCTGGTATTTTGCATTATACATTTGATGTGAGTTATAAGCATAAATGATCAGTGTGTTAGAAGACTGGATGTAAGAGCTTATCGTTGTTTTAGTAGCTAGGAAGAAATAGGCAGGAAATAAAAATCTTGTATTTTGTTCTGAGGGCTTGTTCGGGTGAAATGTTTCGATGAGGGAGAGAGAAGAGAAAAGCTGAGGTTGTTTCACATTCAGCCATACAATTACAAGAAATTCCCTACTACTTATGGATCTGACTTAGTTTATGGAAGTTATGTTTTAGATTCTTTAATAATTACCTAGACTAACAGAATCACAGAGTGCATGTTTGTTTGGAAGCACCTTTAGTATGCTGATTAGGAATTCAGTGCATAAATGGCTTCTTAAAATGGCTTTAAGTAAGTTACTTTTAAATCTGTGAAAAAGTTGGTCAGATCAGATCTCTAATTAACTGATTTTTATTAATCCAAGGGAAGAAGCATCTTCTATAACCAGTGAATACAGCTCTCTCCAGCTTACTATCCTCTTTCCTCCTTAAAAGGAAAGCATTTAATGTTGTGGCAAAACAAGCTGTGTTCTTTTGATACCCTTTGAAGAAGCTTATGTAGCTGTGGCTTCCACTAGACCAGATTTCTCAGAGTCCAGTACAGCCTGGCCTTGAACATTAGAATAACTGAATTGTTAAGGTTGGAAAAGTCCTCTGAGATCATCGAGTCCAACCATCAACCCAGCACCATCACTAAACCTCATCCTCAGCTGCCATATCCACATGTTTTCTGAACACTTCCAGGGATGGTGACTTCACCAGTACCCTGGGCAGCCTGTTTCAATGCTTGACAAGCCTTTAAGTGAAGAATTTTTTCCTAATATCTAACCTAAATCTCTCCTGGTGCAACTTGAGGCTGTTTTCTCTCACCCTGTCACTTGTTATCTGGAGGAAAAGACCGACCCCACCACACACCTGGCTACAGCCTCCTGTCAGGGAGTTGCAGAGAGTGAGGTCTCCCCTGAGCCTCCCTTTCTCCAGGCTGAACACCCCCAGCTCCCTCAGCCTCTCCTCATAGGACTTGTGCTCCAGACCCTTCCCCAGCTTCGTTGCCCTTCTCTGGACACTCTCCAGCACCTCAATGTTCTTCTTGAAGTGAGGGGCCCAAAACTGCACACAGGGTTCAAGGTGCAGCCTCACCAGTGCCCAGCACAGGGATGGGGCATCCACAACTTCCCTGGGCAGCCTGGTCCAGTGCCTCAGCACCCTCAAGTAAAGAATTTCTTCCTAATATCATCTCATCTAACCTGCTCTCTTTTAGTTTAGAGCCATTCCCCCTTGTCATGTCACTCCATGCCCTTGTCAAAAGTCCCTCTCCAGATCTCTTGTAGCCCCTTTAGGGACTGGAAGGTGCTGGAAGGTCTCCCCAGGTTGTTTCGTGTAGTTGTCTCAAAGTGTAGCACGCACAAATGGCAATATGATAAATATAATATATTGTAACATATATATATATATACAATGATCTGTATGATAAATACTATGTAAAGGTAAATAAACATTGCCACTTCTCATGACCAAAATGCAGGTTATGAGTGCAAAGGGGAAGGGGTGGTAGCAGAATAATTTAGGTCTTTGCCTATGAAGATAACAAGTATATTTTCAAAGGGTCTTCACTTCTTACATGAGTCTCTCAGAGCATTACTTTTAGGGTTCAATATATTCTTGACCTGTGGGTTTAGTTTTCATTTCTATGAAAGAAAAACATCCCTTTAACTACTGTTCCCTGTCTTTTAGGTAACCAGCATTAAAGAATTTTGCCTTTAAATGCGCACTTATGTAAGCTTTCTCTAACCTGGAGCTGTGCCAGCTCTTCAAATTGAAATCCTGTTATGAAATTCTGTAGACCTTATATATATATGTGGAACGTTTCCACACAGTACTAATGTTGCTTCCTTAGTCCAGCATTCTAGGGAACTAAAAGCAGGAAGTAACCTTACCAGGATTTACATACCTTAATTAGAACATTTGGTAGACGATGGAGATGGAATATTGCACCAGCTATTCTAAGTCATACTTGATTTACTAAAGTGGTGTTAAAAGGTACTTTCTAAACAAGTACATCCACTCTGTGCATTAATATGTACACTTCTGCTTTCTGGTGGGTTTGGTCTAGTGAGTTTTGCACAATTTGTCACTCCCAGGCTTTTGCCCCCCTTCCCCCCTGGGACAATTAGATTGAAAACAACTTATAGTTGTGTTGTTTTTCAACAGGATCTCTTGGACCCTGCTCGATGGAGAATGCTGATCCAACAGTTTAGATATGATAACTACAGACTACATCAGCTGGGAAACAATTCTGTTTTTACTATAACACTCCAGGCAGGCCTTTCAGCTATAAAAACACCGTATCCTTTAATGCAGATACTACTGGCGAGTGGGAAAAAAAGCCTTTTGGGATTGTTCTGTTCTATGGATGATTTTCAGACAGCTCAAATAAGAAATGTGACACATAATTTTGCTCATTAGTTGTTTAAATGGAGTATAAATTGGTCTCTTAAATTAAGGGGAGATGTTAATGGTTT